AAAAAAAAAAAAAAAAAAAAAAAAAAAAAAAAAAAAAAAAAAAAAAAAAAAAAAAGAACCACATCAGTGTTACCAAGGTTAATTTCTAAAACGCAACCTTATAGGGAGAATACATACAAACTAAAAAGCCTTATTATAGTCCAGGGTACACCTGCAACTTCCAGGTGAGAAAGTCTTTCATAGCTTCTGCTTTCCTTGCCCAGAGTCTTTTTACAACTCTTGTGTAGACAACCCATATACTGGTTCACCTATACCTAAGTATAGGGTAAAATCACCTATACCTAAGTATAGGGTAAAATCACCCCATGCCACCATACACAGTGCCTTTCTCTGAAAAAAAAAGTTTGTCTTTATGGCTTACATTGTAAAGGCTGCTCTTTGCCAGACTTTTGGTAGGAAATGGGAGCTGGTTAGGTCAGTTCTTAATTTGGAATATCAATTCTTCCAATCATCTTCTAATGCACATCTTTAAGTAGTGCTATATTCATTCAATGATTATGTACTGAATGCTGTGAAAGGTATTGAGGAGTGAGAAAAATACATACAGCTTCTGCCTTCAACTTCTATAGGCTGCTGCTAGTAACTAAACCCATCTATCATCTACTGGAGGAAATGAACAATAAACAAACAAGACAATTACAGGCTAGGAGGGAAAGTATGCAGGACAGGAAGCTACTTAATAACCCGTGAAGGCCTCTCAGATACATTTAAACCCTGAAAAGACAAAAACAAGGCCTAACCATACACACTAACTGGGGAAAAGCATCCCAGGCTGAGAGAAATGGAAATGTCCCAAGATGAAAACAGATGCATTCTGTTTGAAGAACACAAATGAGGCAGTGTAGCTATATTTTTCAAACTGTGAGTCATGTTTTGGAGTGTGATGTCAATTTTGTGGGTCACTGAATTTTTAAAAAGGAAGTCAAATAGAAAATACATCAGCCACATGTTTTTAGACTAAATATTCTTTAATTAACTTTGTGTGTGTATATGTGTGTGTGTGTGTGCGCGCGCGTGCGTGCTGGATTGCTATTTGTATGCCTCTTAATGCTAGGGATGGTCAACTCTGCACTAAGCAAGGAGAGAAATAAAAGATGAGGATGGACAGGTAGCCAAGAGCTAGGTAATATATGACTGCGTATTTGTAGGCCACTAAGAAGAACTGGAACTTTATTCTAAATACATACAGTGGGAAGACACTGAAAGGTTTCACGCTGGGGAGTGACATGATCTAATCTGACACTGTGATGTTGCTTAAAGATTACTATAGTGAAATCCAAAAGGCCTGAGTGGTAGGCCAGGCCAAAATTCTAACACCAGGGATTCTGAGCAAATTGCTTAATCTTACTACACTTCACTTCCCTCATTTTAAAAATGAGAAGACTGAATCAAGATGACCTTTAAAACCTTGGAGATTGCATAACTTACCTATCTTCTGCTTGATCCCTTGAGCATAAGTAAATGACTATTATAGAATCATCAATTCATTAGTTACGAGTTATGTCTTAATACACTATAAACCATATAGCTATGACTTGTTTTCATATAGAAAGCTATTGTAGAATCTCCTTACTGTAACCAGCTATAATAACAGGCATGAATGAGATCTCTGTGCTAAAAGGGAATGGAGTGATTTTGCAACTCTCTGGTACAAAGTTTGGTACATGAAGAAAATTGGCAAGGAGGTATGAAAAGATTTACTGACCAGGCTATTTGGAACAGATTTCCTTATTTGTTCTAGGTCACCAACTGATATACACTACAGAACAGTATAAGGGTATAGGAATCTTCTAGTCAGCACTAAAATCAAAATGCAAAAGTTTGATTCCATCCACAGTAACCAAATGCCCAAGGCAAAATCTGTATTGACAACTCACTAGTTTTTAGTTCCACACTTGACAATCTGATACATGTTTCTTCACTTAATCCTTTAACCTTATTTACATTTCACAGATATGGAAACAGGAACTCAGAAGATGTAAGCTAGCTCTTTAGTGGAAGGGTCTAGATTAGCATCAATCAAGGCAGATGGCAACTTGAGCTTTTAAATTCCGTATTTATAACTCACTCTAAATGTTTAAAAATACTGATCAGTTAAGTACTTGACAACTCAAGTATCTATGACATTGAGACATTGAATGCTTAACCAATAAATCAATTCTGCACTTACAGAAACTTTCAAGTACAGAGCGTGATGAAATAAGAACTTGTGAGTAGCACTTTTGGTTTTGAGAAGCGGAATTAAGCAAAATAAAAGGAACTGGATTACCAAATTTTGTACAAAGTATATAGCAAAAGTACAATGACAGTTTCCAGGTTTATTTTCTGGTGAAAGGCTATGAACTGCACACGGGCCCATGAACACAAGATGCTAGACATTCTGATTTCTAACATACATTAACCTTGTAAAGGAAGAAACGAGCACACCATCTGCCTCACTGAAGCAGCTCACACAGTATGGCAAAAACCCTTGAAACACCTACAGCATCTTTCCAGTGAGGGTTGAAAAGGTCTCTAACATCTGCCAGCAAAAACACCCACAAACATTCTAACAAAAGTTGGATATGCTCACTGAACACCCCACTTCAACCCCTAGGAATGCAAGCTCACCTGTCACATACTCAGCTTCGAATCTCCGCCGGGTCTCAGAGATTAGCTTGGCTTTATTCTGAGCGTTATTCTGGATGGGAGACAAAACAGAACCTTAGATGCTTATGGTCTTTACTATGATCACTCAGCACAGCGCACCTGCACCCGGAGCGCACGGGCCCTGGGCCTGGAAGGCGGCTTCCCAGTCCGGGGACCCAGCAGTGCTGGGTGCTGCTCACCTCGGCCATGGTCACGATCGTGGACTTGATCGTAGTTGTAGCTGTCGCCGCTTCCACAGCTGGCTGCCAAGTATCTCATCACCAGTCAGCCCAGCCCAAAGGTAGACCAAGAAGGGAGGGAGGAGGAGGCGGTCGCGTGACACCGGAAGGTAGAAGGAAGTGCCTCCATACTGTCCAATCCCATACTGTCGTCCCGGGGTAGAGGCGGGAATAAGTTCTCTGCTCGGCTCCCACTTGCTTCTCTAAGGAGAAACTCCGCCCTCCGACGTCCTCCTGGCACTGCTGTCCCGCCTCCAGCAGGCTGGAGCGCTCCGAAGCTTTCCCCAAAGCACAGCCTCTGACAGCTCGGCAGGTCATTCGCTTCCACCACTCGGAGGCCCCGCCCCCTCAGGTCTCCCCTGGCAACCGCCTCCATCAGGCTTCGCCTTCCGAGTTTTTCACTCTGCTATTGGGCCGGGTGTCCCAGCGTGCAGTGCGCGGGCGGGAGGTTCAGAGTCATTTAGTGCTTCTGGGACGTGAAGATTAGGCTGCCTTGGAGAATTGTTTTTTTTCCTCCTCACCGTTGCGGATACTTTGGACTGTGAGTGTTCTCTATATCCGGCGATTATTTCCGTTAAGACTTTTTGTTGTGGTGTCTCGCATTATAGTGCTGGCAGGCCTGGAACTTAGTATGTAGCCCGGGTTGGCCTCAACTCTCAGACATGTTCCTGTTTCTGACTCTCTGATGGAGACTACAGGTGTAGCCTCCGCTCTTGGTTGTGGAATGTGAGACGCTTACAAGGCAAATACCTTTGAACTCCGAGTTGAAGTGGTTATAGAAAGTTAAAAAGAAAGATGTTATTTTGAGGTGCTTGTTCTTAACAAGGTGGGGATAGGGCTATTATTTCTGCCATGTAAGTGACATTTGTGGTTGTCACAGCTCGCAATGCTTATCCAGGGCAAAATGCAAACATTGCCAAGGCTGGTAAGAGCTTAGATTTATAAAGTGCTGGAACAAAGTTTAGGTTTGGTGGTTTAGTTGAAGATAACAATGTTGCCTTTCTTAAAAAATTGACAGATGCTGGAGACTACTTGTATAAATTGTAAAAACAAAAGAAAACTGTTAGCCTAGGGACTGAGGATATAGCTCACTGGTACCGTGCATGTTGGAGGCCTGATGCTCAGTCTCCAGCAGCCCTTTACCTCCACCAAAAAGGAAAACCCAAGTCTTCCCTCATAAATCCCTAATCTGTAGCTGGTTCACCACAGTAAGGCATTTAGCATCTTCCCCCACAGTGTTTCCTATGTTTACATTTTTATGGGAAAAATTGAACACATTGTTTAAAACTTATTTGAAAATATTCATAAAAATATTTGAATAGCTAAAATCTCCTTTAGACTGAATTCTCACTTCGATTCCCTTGCTTATTAAAATTTAACCATCATGATATGCAATACATTTCTTTTAACTGTAGTGTGATGTTCCATTGGTTTGTTTTCCTACTGGTAATCATTCAAATTTGTAATTTTTATATTGCAAATAGTAGTGCAGTATATATTTTAGAGTAGTAGTATCCTTCCTTATGTGGGTCTGTTTCTCTTGGGTCAGGTCAGAAATGCAATTGCCAAAGATACACATTTCAGTTTCTTGTCAGGTTAAATTCTCTAGTCACCTCTCTTTCATAAATGACTTATTAATTATCTCCTATTAATGAACTTTGTTCCTCAGTCATGTATTTTAGTGCTGCCACTCAGCTGGAGCAGTACCATTCTGTGATTTCTGCATTGTTAATTCATCCCATGTGTTGTCGTTACTTAAAAGAGTGGCTCTGCATGTATAGCCACTGAAACAAGAGAGAAGGACAGATTTCCATGTCTGTTGAATTTAGAGGATGTTCCTTTGATTACATTGATTTTACTCATTCTCTCACACTGCCTTCCTATTGGCAGTTTGTTCTTAATAGAGAAATGCATGCCATGGCAATATGATTAACAGGGTTGGCTCAAGAGGCAAAATGACTCTTTTCTAAATCAGCATTGCTGATTAGTATTGTAAGCATGGAGCAATGCTGCAACCTTGGGACAATTTACCTTCATTACAGTAAAAGGGTCTGAATTTATATAAAGGAGCAATCAGAATGTTCATTCTGAGAGAATAGTCATAAACCTGAAATGACGTAATGCATGTATTGTAACTGACAGAGCTAATAAGCACAAGTGATTGATCACAATTACTTAATTCTTCTGCTCATTTTAGTTAGTTGTATTCACCCTCAATTTCCTCCTATTTTGAATACTAATAGTTTTCCTCAGGTCATAAAAATGTATTGTAAAGTAAGAAGTATTTCTGTTTTTTTCCAGAGAGATTTGTGAGCTTTTTTCTTTCATCGTGTAGCCTGTACAAACTGTTTTTTAGGAAGCAGGGCCCAAGTGCCTTGTCTGTGGGGAGCAACCCAATTCAGCAATCAACATATTTAGGGAAGTCTGAGTTTCAAGACAAGTAAACCATTGATTAACTGCATCTCATCCTAAAGAAGCTAATATAAACCCAAATTAGATTTAGTAGATTTGTAACAGAGAGGGAAGTAGAACTCATGAGAAATTTCCTGAACCAGAAAGATACCTGAAGTCATTTTTTTTTTCAGTGCTCTCGGGGTATCTCCAGTTTTCTAGAATAGTTCTTGCCTTCTACCCTGCTGAGGCAGAGTCTGGTTTCTGCTGCTCCTTTGCACACTCCAGGCTTAGATGGCCTGGGGGCTTTCAGGAAGTTTTCCTGCTTCTGCTTCCCATCTCCCCAAAGGAATGCTGTGATGACAAGGCACACCACTGTATCAGGCTGCTTTTTCCTTTGTGAAGTCTGGTCCTCCCACTTGTATACCTTCCTGATGGATGGTACTTTTAATAGAACTTCAGAATACAGCTTGCCATGCTGATAGAAATTCAGGTATCTTTTCTGACTTATTATTCACAGTCTTAGAGTTGTTTAAGGAAATATGGCATTGTCACCAGGTGCATGATATGTACCTATAATGCCAGCACTCTAGAGACAGAGGCAGAGGAATTATGAGGGCAGGGACAGCAAGGGTCTTTTATATAGCAAGGCCTTCTTTCCATAGAATGTTGTCACAATTGTGTAAGAAGTTTTAATATATTTACTTCAAATGAAATGTATGATTACTTCTGTGATAATTTTCTAACAAAGTATGTTTTCTACTCTGCCTGTTCCACTGAGTCCTTCTTTTTTCCCCCTTAGGATTAAAGGCCTCAACTGGAATCCATTTGCATTTGGAACTGGATCAACACAGAGACTTGATGTATTAGAATGGCTGGCAAACAAGCAATGCCATTTAATGAGCAAGCAAAATTCTTGTGTTATAATGGGGAAATCCTTGTGTTTCATTTGTACAAAGGAGATTGTGAAGTGCCCACAGATACATCTGTATTATATGTCAAAAAGATGGTATTTGACAGAGAAACAGAAACATTTATTCTGATATCCACGGGTTTTTTAAACATTAAGGAGAAAGCTTCTCATATGAAAATTCTGTGTTGCAAATGTGTGTCAGATTTCAGAACTAGAGTTAACCTCCCTTGCATTTTGATACAATATACACAATACAGTAGTAGAGCTTTCAAATATTATATAGTGTTTCTTCACAGTCCAAACAAATTTGAAAAGCATTTGAGTTTTAAACTTCACCATGCATTGGATGACAGCTTACAGATCTTTGATGGCCCTATAGTTTTTTGGCAATATCTCGACAAATTCTTCTATATATCTTCTGAAATTGGGAAAGTTACTAATATATCAGTTAAACTTTCTTCTATTGAGTGGATAGGTGAGATCGAAAATTTTGGAGTAGTATTTTTGGGTCTAGCAGAACCACCTGAGGCTAAATGTACCCATAAGCTTTCAGAATCAGATTATGAATTTTCCAATTCCAACCTTTGTGCATATGTTCTTAAAAGTCAAGAAATATTAAGCAATTGCTACCTTATCCCTCTTGCTTATAGTAGTGTAGTAACTCATGTGCATGTCTGTGCAGCTGAGATGGTCAACAACCAGTTAAGAATGTCTCTGATTGCCCTTACGAAAAAGAATCAGCTTGTTTTGTTCCAAAATGGCATTCCTGTAAGAGTGTGCCAGCTTCCATTTCTAGATCCTTGTTCAGTTCAAATTCTAGATTCAGGCAAAGGAAATCGATTTTTCATCGTGTCATTCAACTCCAAGGCTTGTGCTGTTTCAGAAAAGAAATTTAAGGTACAGTGTTTGATCTCAATTATTGGGGACTATGGGGGTCCAGGCCCTCGATAGTCCCCTCCCAGGGTCCGGGAAGAATCTACAACCAGCTGATAATTAATCTTTGATGAGAAGAAATGAATCTATGTACATGAGACTCCTTAGTTCATACACTTTATTATTCTGTGATAGTTCTCTCTCTACACAGCTTCTAGTCTGCTCTCATGCCTAGCTCCTTTCTTGCCTGATTTCTCTATATTTATCTACTGTCCCCTCTCGGTTGTATCATAATTCCTTCATCTAGTTCTGTCCCTTCTAGGTTCTCATCTATCTAGTTCTTTCCCCTATCAGCTCTTCTCCCATCTCCTTCTCTCTCATCTGGCTCTTTTTTATCTTGTTCTTCCCCATCTGGCTCTTCCTCATCTTTCATCTTGTTCCTCTAGTACTCTCTTCTAGCCCTTCAATCTACTTCTCCCCCATCTCAGTTTGTTCCTCTCAAGTTCTTACCCATCTGATTCTTCCATTCTCTTCTCTCTTCTCTCCCCGTGCCCTGGAAGTCCCGGTATATAAAGGGCGGGTCCGAGCTAAATTGTGTAAAGCTGTTACTTAATGTCCACCTCTCCTAGGCAGTGTCTCCTTGTGGAATTTACCTTAAGTCAGGAGACTTGCCTGTGGGCTGCTATCATTGTTAGTCCTTGGAAGTTGGGCGCCCCCCTGGGCGGTGTCTCCTTGTGGAATTTAAGTCAGGAGACTTGCAGGTGGGCTGTTATCATTGTTATCCTTGGAAGTTGGGCCCCCACCTGGGTAGTGTTTCCTGTAGTCCTTGAAAGTGGCTAAGGGAGATAATCTGATTCCAGAGAAAGCCTTTCCTGAGGCTGTTCTCCAAATACCTGGAATGTGTATGTCCAGAGAGTGATCAGTCCATACTGTTAGCCCTT